TTAGGTGTAAAAGACAACACCCCAGTGTGCACTCCTACATTTTTTTCAGTAGACGTTTAGGTAACACCTTAAAACACTAAGGCAGGGGTCCCCACTCCCAGTCCACGAGGGCCGGTGTCCCTGCAGGTTTTAGATGTGTCCTTGATCCATCACAGCAGATTTAAATGGATAAATGACCTCCTCAGCATATCTTGAAGTTCTCCAGAAGCCTGGCAATGAACTAATCATGTGATTCAGGTGTGTTGACCCAGGGTGAGATCTAAAAGCTGCAGGGACACCGGCCCTCATGGACTGGGATTGGGGACCCCTGCACTAAGGGCTTGGTTAGGATTAGACTTTATTGTCATCACACATGAATACAGGGTAATGAAATACAGTTTGCATCTGATCAGGAGTGCAATAAGAGCAGATTATATACAGATAGGGGTTAGGATAAAAGGTGGGAATCACTATGTACAGATTATGTACAATTCTAAATTGTATGTCAATATATTTTATTTGAAATGATGATGGAATTATATTAACTTACAACTATTTAACAGTAGGCACATTAGAATACAGGAGAACATGAAATATTTATACTATAAGTAAATTGAAGTACTGCACAAGTACTTTTAAGTAGTGTGCAACTTCACAGCAGTTTTGCAGAGAAACACCCAAAATTTCCCGTCTTACATCATAAATATTGTACTGGCAGATTTCTTTATTCGTGCATTAATCACATATTTTAATCATATCACTTTACTAATAGTAATATCACTTTCTCATTTAGTTGTATGCATGTGCACTACAGATGGGCCTTATGCTCTATCACACATATATGCACACACAGTGAGGCCATTGTTAGTTCATGGGAGACGTTAAAAAGATGAGACTCCTTCTGCTCATCGGGGATGTAAATCCTTAGGTGACGGCCAAGCAGTCAACATGTAAGAGTTGTGGATTGTCTTTGTCTGTGTGTGTATATAAGATGTGTGGGTGGCGGCCGTGGGGCAGGGGTGATCCTAGTGTTTGGAATTGCGATGTGGGAACCATCCCACATTTTTATATTGATAAAAAATGAATGATATTTTTATCATAACTCTGGTTTTCACATCCAGTGGTGATCTGTGAGATAACACACAGTAATGTCTTTAAATGTCTTTTTGTGTGTTGGACAGATCGATAATCTATCAGTTTGATCAGGTTAGATCCTGCTGGCCGTCACAGACTCTGTTCTACATTCATACAGTTTGTTCTCATTTTAAAGGATTTTTGGGTTTCAGGGTTTTCTTGTGTTTGTTCTCCTGGATAAACTCCATGTTCTCACTTTAGGAGTTTCTACAGGACTGTTTCCTGATACAAATGCAAATGTGTGCTTCAGCTTCAGTGCAGACGGTTTTCACATGTTTGTGGATGGAAACACTTCGGTGTCTTAAACCTGTATATAGATATATATGATATATATTGTTTTCGTGCCTGAACTTGTATAGAAATATATAACGTTCTTAAATGAACTTGTAGATCAAACTTTTTACTTCTCTAAAGTAGCAACAACCTTTGATACCAGTTTAATCATCAACAGATAATCAAACAATCATATTGCTCTGTGTTGCTCTCAGAGCATTGAGCAGCTGCCACGTCTTCCCCTCTCTCTCTCTGACCCTGCTTTCCTGTCCTCTCTACACTGTTTCTATGCAATAAATAAAAAAAAAAGGTCCAATCTGACAGAGAGGAGAATGATAAGAAACTATTTAAATAAAGGCTTTGTAATACTGTCTGTTCTCTTGTGATCATTTTTATTACCACAGATATAAAAACATCTCCACTTTGGTCCGGTCTGTGGGAAGGACAGGTCCAGAAGTCTTGTGCTTTGTTCAGATGCAGGTTTGCAAAGCTGCATCTGAAACCAAACAAGCCATGTTTGTTCAGTCTGTTTCTAATTGTACTGCCATGAGCTTTAACCTTTAACGTGCTAACTGAGGGTTAGAGAGCCTGAGCTGGAGCTCTCTCTT